GATGGAAACAACCCACTTTCGCATATAGATAGACAGTTTTCTTTCCAAAAGTTATGACCAAATCTTTGTCAACTTCATGTGTTACCAAATTATTTACTTCGAGGTATGTAAGGCTACGCTGAGCACGCTTCACTCACTGCCAGTTCCAATTCATGAATCCTTCCCAGTGTGGAGAACGCAATTGCACATGTACAGCATCGCAATTCCAATTTTCTGGTTCAAGAATCACCAATACGTTCAATTCAAGATTATTCAAATTGTCTTAGAATTGACAGTGCAAAACTGTTCACGTTCCCAGTCACCTTCTCTGAGGAGGATTTGTTGCTAGATATATCTTAGAACTTTAGATTCGGTAGAATTACTGATCCAAAGACTCCAAACCTTACAGGTTTCTTAATTCTTTCGAATTCCCCTGCTGATATATGCGGGGTAGTTGATCAGAGGACAAATTCTTTATGTTGTTGTTGTTCAGGAAACTGTATTGGAGAGAAAGAGAACACAAGAGTTTAAATTAACGCAAATGGGTTAACAGTTTGATCTACTTTCGGGCTGCGATCGCAAACGTGAAAGATAGTTTTTCTCCTACCGACGAAAGAAAACTGAAGGGAATCCATTTTCAGAATGCTTCCTCTAGGAAAAAATGTTGCCTCTTTCTTACACAATATCTGCCGCAGACAGTTTCAATTTACCTCTACCATTATTTTATTTACCTCTGTGTTTTAAAAAGCTCTCTTTTAATTGATGTCTTACCACGTTAAATGACACATGCCAACAGAAAATTAAAGCAAATGGGTTAACAGTTTGATCTACTTTCGGGCTGCGATCGCAAACTTGAAAGATAGTTTTTCTCCTACCGACGAAAGGAAACTGAAGGGAATCCTGAAAACTGAATGTCTTTGCATCAGTTAGTAATTAGGTGGTGAGCAGATTATATTAGTGAGGGAAACAGACCATGTGAAATGGACTAGATTCCATTTACATAACAAATTTTTCTGGAGAATTTGCTGGTCTGCAGAATAGTTTTTGGTCATTTTAATTGCTTTTAATTGCTTGGTGGTTAGAATTCTTTGTTATTCATTTGAGAAAAGATTACCATCCAGGCTTCCTTCGGCTTAAAAACTGACAGATTTAATGTGAAGTATAGACCTGTGCGAATAAGGAAGGACCAACCTCGTAAAATCATAAAGTATGTCTGGGCTCGCTTAAAAAGACGAAATGGGGGCCTTGGCTTTCCTTCTACTACATCTTTCTCATCAAAATATCAAAATGGCACTAGAAATTTCTCCCATTTTGAGATTTAAATTGTCTATATGCTTGCTTCATAACTAAGGGTTGATGCGGCTTTGAACCCAGAAAAGGGATGGACAAGGAATCAAAATCTTAAAGCTGCACAACTCTGCATGTTTTCAAGACTTTACATCCCAACCGGCGCTGTATGACGCTCAAATCATTTAGAGGTGAAGCGAAAAACCCGAAACGGCTTTATCGCGCAGTCGGTTTATAATCGATTCTGTTTACCTGAGAACAGTTATGCTTAAACAGATCATGAGAATAGAGCTAGATAAGGTGAGAAAAATGATCAGCAGCCCCATAGCAAGCGAAATAAACGTTTTACTTACAGTTCTTGAAGATTAGAATTTTTGAAGAAGGCTCTTGAAGGTAGCTGTTCCAGTTGATTATAGGACAAGTCGCTACAAAAGAGCAAACAAGGAAAATCCAATATTAGGAGATATGATGGATGCGAGAGTAAAGACTGAAGAAAATCATCCTTGGAAATGAGTATCTAGATATCATGGAATTACATTTAGAAGTTCGGGAACTATGCTGCATACGAAACTTGAAGACACAAGACAGTGATGTGCAAAAATTGAGGAAGAGAAAATGAGCAGTTCATCGAATTGATGGGAATGGATTCATTACAATCAAGTTAAGGAGGGAAACAAAGTTAAAAAAAGAGGTTGCGATGGCTATGATTACCATGGACGATATCACTGAAGTGAAAAATGCTGATGTTTTTACCGCCGCGCTATAGGCTACCTTAAAAAATAGATTTAGAATGTCTGAGAGAAAAAAAGGTTGCAATTTATAGAGACACAACCGAGAGGAAAAAAAGAAAGAAACAGAACAAGTTGAATGACTAAAGCTGATTGCCTTCTTCTTTAATTCCCCGCCCTCCCCACCTGTCCCCTTATTCTCTCAAAGGTTTTCTCGGCGTCAGTCTTCAATACTCAGTGTACTGTTATTGTAACCCAACAATCCATGTTCTTTAATACCCATTGAACTAAAAAAAAAAGAATTTTTTATGACATTAACTCTCCAACTTGAAAGGTCACGTGGTAGAGAACTTTGAGAAGAGAGAACTAGATGAAGCGTAATCAATCTCGCGCCTTCTATGGTTTGTTCTACTCTCGAATTAATATTTGCTTTATATCTCCTGAAGTAAAAAAGATTTCAAAATAAAATTCTCACAAGTTTACCTATCATACGTTGACGCGCAGTCAGGAGAGTAAACTCCGGATGAAAAATCTAAGCAGGCCATCGCTGAATGGTGATCTTGTGACATTTTAGGTAACGCGCTTAGTGATATTAAATTAATCATAGGCTGATTCCAGTAGTTTCCTTTAACAGTGAAGGATTTGCTGCTGATTCAGAGTTGATAGTGTTTACTAATCGTTTAAAAAACTTGCTTCAAGGAGTCCACACTCCAGATGTGAAGTCTCCAATCACATTGGAGCAAGCCATTTGGCTCTGTTTTGCCTGCCAGCGCTGGTGCGCGCAAGAAAGTAAAGAGCGGACAAAATTGTAAAGAGTTAGGTCGAGGAGTTCAGTGTAACACACGTGAATATGAAGCTACTTGCGGGAATAGGGAAGGCGCTTCAATGAGCAAAAAAAAGAGGAGGAAAGAGGTCATGTAGTAAAAGAAGAGCTACACAGGTTTTCAACGATCGATGCTCGAAGAGCAATGCTACGCGAATGATGATGGACTGGCGGTCGGCGATGCAATTTTCCCTTTCGTAAACGGTCGCTGCTACTTGCGTGGGCGATATCATTCGCGAATTAGCGTTCACGGAAGCCTCGATATAAATAGCTGCTGGCCACTGAATCTTGCAGACTCTAGTAGGACCCCCTATTGCTATCGGTGAACAATATTTTCGATCCGATGCAAACTGTGATAAATTTTCCTTTTACCGGAGTGGGAAAAAGGACTTGTCGCTTATGGACATGATTTCAGCGTGAAAACAACGCTTGAATTACAAAAGCACTCCTTCTATATATCTAGTTTTCGGAAAAGAACTGATGCAAGTAGACTTGATGATGAATGTGCAATTTCAGAACTTTACAAAACTGTACAGTGTGCATTTAAAATCAAGAGTGATTTTAAAATCGTTAATTGGGTGACTAGATGAAGTGTAATCAATCTCGCGCCTTCTATGGTTTGTTCTACTCTCGAATAAATTTTTGCTTTATATCTCCTGAAGTAAAAAACGATTTCAAAATAAGATTCTCACAAGTTTACCCATCATATTTTTAATATATATTACATGTTGTGGAAATTAAAAAGGACATATTTTTTCCTTCAATTTTCAATCACTTCTGTTAAGAAAACTGCAAGTCAAACCATTATGATTTAACAATCCCGGCAACGAACAGGCTCTACTACGTGCAGCCTCTAGCACATAGCTCGTAATGCATGCACATATATTGCAAGCGTTTCATTCGGAGGGCTTGCAGAAGAGTGCATTCTCAAAATAAAGGTCATACGAACATTGGAAAAGACTTGTCGCGAATCCCACGTATGGCGTATGCTTAGCTTTTTAAAATTTCAATTTACATCAACATCGACCTACAGAGAGTTGTTTTCAAAATCTGTTCACCTAATTGTATTCTCCAACTGAAAGTTTATTGATATTCTAAGGTGTCAATTACACAGTTCTCAGATGGGGTCGTAAAGGTGGTTTTAAGGCAAAAAGTATCCCATAGAATAAGGAAGAGGTCGTGATATGCACTCTTTGTTTAAGTCCTAAATGCAATAAAGTCCTCCAATGCCAGTGCATTGTTGTTATAATGGACATCGATATTGAGATTTTTACAGTGACAGCTGTTACACCAAAGAATCCTCTGACCAATATTCATGTCATATTTCGGGCTCTCTGATATTAATCTGCGTCTTTTTATTTGTTAGAGAAGTAAGTTGAGAAGTATTTGTTACAAACCCTTAAACTGATGCGCTTTTGGCATAAAACTTTACAAACGTCAAAACAAAGAGAAAGTTGACCATCAGCTCTCATTTAATACAGTATGGACAGTTACTACATTTTGGCCCCAACATCTGTTAGCGTGTCTTATGAGTATCGCGTATGCGCCTGATCATCGTTTTTGACATCGGTTACATTAACAGGAATACTCGAAGGAAAAATGTTGTGCTGATGAAAAAAGGATGCTTCCCAGCAATTTTTTCCAGAAAAAAAAAATATAGACAGGATTCCTCTACTCTTTCTAAGTGAAATCGATGGTCACGACAGAAAATTCCTGATGGTAAGTTCCCTTCCGAGGTGTTTGAAAACCTGCGTTTCTAACTGCGTTCAAAGTATAATTTCAACATAACAGACTGTTTTGTTGTTCTTTTTTAGAAGAAGATATGTAGAGTGGGCGAAAAAACACTGTAACACAACGAATATATGAAATTCATATATCTGAACTGCGGTATAGAAACGTATTTGTGCACGATCCTGGCAGTAAAGAACGGTATTTAAGCAATAGTGAAGATCAGACCTGGAAAAACTCAGGCCTGTACAGGTTTTGAACCACTGACCTCTGCGATGCTAGTGCAGCACTCTACCAATTGAACTAACAAGCCAACAGGGAGCAACGGTCATAAAATTAATTAATTCGATCAGTAGTTTGAATCCCGTACAGGCCTGAGGTTTTTCTGGTCTGATCTTCACTATTACTTAAATAGTATTCTTTACTGCCAGGATCGTGCACAAATAAACACGTTGGTTCGTTACCATGGCTATTCCTCCCGTTGCTATGGTATGGTCACGTGACCCATTCCCACTTGTGGCCGTGGAGATAATTTGCTTGAGAATGTTCTTTAATTTGATGGCTAATTAGGACGAGTTTGGGATGGCTTTAATAAACATCTATTCGATCGGTTGTTGAATAAAGTATTATAGATAATAAAATTTGTAGTTGTAGTTTAATAGCGAGCGCGAGCTATTCAAGATAGCTGCTTTTCAATGGCCAAGTCTGGGGGAACAAAATGATTTCCCGCCGAATCATCAATGAGCAAAAAGTGTTTTATTTCGGAGGGGAGGGTAAAGTACTATTGGATCTACTAGGTTGACTTAGACCTCCCTTGATAGGAGTTCAGACAACACATTTACCTTTGAAAGTTGTATCGGTGAACAAAAATGATGGAGAAATTATCAATTTTGTCCGACAAAGATGAAGGGAAACGCTTACATGTAAAGGCAAAGTTTAAGTACGGTCTTCACTCTTTTAGAAAATTTGGTTTTTGGGGCCCGAAAACCTAAAACTGGTTGGAGGTAAATCGGATAAACGACAACTCACTGAGCTCAAATTCAATATGGCGGCTCCTGTCCCTGGTTTTACAATACCAGCTCCCGATCACTGTCGCAAGGGCCGCCAGTGTTCGAAGTTCAATGGCCACAAGGGTCGCTACAATTCCGAGAGAAGTTGGAATACCTTCTGGAGAAATTCACCCGTGTACAACTTAAATGTACGGAAGAGATCACTTGCCTTAGAGGAGGAACGAGTTGGAGCAGTTGCGGAGGAACTTGCTGCTAAAGCTGCTCGTCTTGACGTTCGCGAAAGTGAGTTAAGGGAAGGAAAGTTGGACATGCAAAAGAAGCTGGATGACACAGGTGAATACAAAATTGGAAAATAT